CATTCAATTTCATCAATCTTCACATTCGCATCAACTTCTCCAATATATGAGTTTTTGAACGAGCGTGCTATGATGAGTATCAGCTCCTGCTTCACGTTCAAGATGACCCTACTATAGTCCTCTGCGAACCCCATCAAACATTTCAGCGGTAGTTTTCCACTGAATACATAGCTGGATTTGTCTAGTATCGGTTGATTTTCATTGTCTAGTCCCCACCCAACCGTTTCCAAAAATTTTGAGTTAGACTCACCATAAGAGACCATAGTCTTCATGGTTGTAGTAATGCCTGGCTTCCGAATCATACATACTTGTTCACCTCCAATTTCATAACGTCGTCGAATAGAAACGCTAAAGCGTTGTTAGATAGATAACATGTTTTCGTCAAATCAGTAGGTGTAAATTTTCCTTCAATATATATGTAACTTTCAGAAATGTTGAGTATGAGATCTTGAAAATTGACCGCTATTCTTATTTCATCGGAATTTTTGAATGAGGGCGACCCATACGGCTTGTATGTATGCTCATGTAGGCTAATTAGCGAGTGGTCGAAAATTGGTTCATCAAATACTGCCAATTGAATGCTGGTAGATGTTGTGACAACGATTTTTTTTTGTTAATTTTTGCTCCTTCTTCGCACATTCAAACCAATAGATTTCAAAAAAATTATATCGCTCGCTGACAATTTATGATGTCTTGCTCGACCGGGAAACTGTCTACGAATGAACCCTCTTCCCTGCTTACATTTATTCTTATTGATATTGCTGCAATAACGTAGGATATTGGTATTCGTTGTGAGCGATACACGCTTTGATTGGTTCCCGAAACAGAACCCCATTTTTAGGGAAATCGTTGTGAAAATATTAATCAAGCTGTTTCAATTCTAACTTTACTATTATCTTCTCTCCTCTAAAATCAACTAAATGGCCATTATCATACAAAATTTTCAGTGTCATGTTGTCGATAGACTGATGCCCAGTTGGACTGATCGGTAGATATATTATATTTTTCGGCTCCATCGAAAGTCTATATCCAGGTTCCACATCAATATCGAATTCGTAAAGCGTGTGTACCTCCTCGTCATCGAGGTATGCTCCAGTGGTGATATTACAGTCAACTCGTATGAGTCGTACCTTTATAATATTCACAGGTAATGTAGATTCATACAATATATTAGGTTGGTAAAATTTTGATTCGAATCCCAACACTTCAGCTATGGAATTTTTCACCACCAAATCAATTCCATACTTAGACTTCATTTCACATTTGAGTGTATTATTATTAGCATGGAGAGAGAACATATCATCATCATAATTTTGCTCACCCGATGATGTAGTGTGTGGTAAAGCTTTTTGTAGACTTTCATTAATTTCATCAATTTCGTAAACGCCAGGGGGTATATGTATAATCTCGGTTTTACATTTGGTGGAATCTGAGGAATCCACTCCCCCGACACAAAAACCTAATTTGTTATTCGATTCATCTATATTGAGTATAGAGTTGTATGAATAGAAACCGTGCAACCTCAAACAGTAAGTATTCTTCGCATCCAATTCAATAGGTGGATAAAAGTCTGCACTCAAAACACTGAAATCTCCAGATATGGTGAATGTTTGTGACATAATTTCCCCAAAAAAATTAACAATGATAACAGAGAACAAACGTCAAAATATTCAGCAGCAGTTAGAACGACAACAACCTTATTGCTGCCTGCAACAATGAAGAATGTCCTCGTTTTCGGTAGGTGAAGTATAAATATCGAATTTATTATATGTTGCTACATTTACACCTTTTATTTGGCAAAAACAACATGATATTTTTCTGGGTATTGGGCCATCATATATGTCAGCACCGTCTTGTCCAGCCTGCTCCTCCTGATGATGTTCCACACAAAACTGATATTTTGATATATCTGGGTCGTTCTGTAACCGTTCTGGCAACTTATCCTACACTAGAGCTATTTCGTGTGAGGCACATTCAATTGGAACTTCTTTGGGCATATCAGCAAGCTGTTTTTTACTAATTTCCAACAAGGAGCGCAATCTCGAATTAGCCAATAATGCATGTCCCATTTGTTTGATGCTATCTCTATCCATACTTATTAATTACGTTTTTTGCTCCTGCTTCGTGTTGATAGGAATTTTAAGCACAAGTGATCACACCAGACTGTGTTATAATTCTGTTGGCGCTCATAGTTATACGTGATTTTTGTAGCTTTAAGCGATTTTGGCCCCCTCTTCAAATACTCGACCAACTCCTTAGGCGGTGGCAGATAAGTATCATAATACTGAACACTACCACCATTCTTTTTATATGCAACCCAATGCGTTCCTCTGCCTTGAATGCCGTCGAGGTTCAGTATGGCTGTCTCTGTACGATGTGGATAGGAAGTGGGCAGATCATCTCGCATAAATATACCTCGAAAGTTTGCAACCCCCATTTTCTCTATATAATGTAATAGGTCAATATCTGTTAAAGCCCTCCGAGGTAATCCATCTACTTTTTTGAATTTTGAGGCTTCAAATAAATCTCCAATCCCTTTCTGTACGGTTTCAAATAGACTCCTTTACCTAGCTTCCCTAAAGCTATCGACTCCATATGTCTATTATGACGATTAGCTTCAGAAAGCTGCTCTCTACTCTCTTTAGCTGAATGAATAGCTCGAGCAATACCTGCACTACCTGCAGCTAAACTACCCAATGCCGATAGGCCGGCAAATATTGGAATGAGTGGGAGAATTCCACCAACCTTGGGGATTGGTATAATTCTTTCCACCTGCCATCTTCATGAATTTCCGAGCAGCACCTATTGCCATACGAGATGTTTTAGCTGAATTTTTGACGAGTTCTCCCTTTTTACCTATTTGGCGCAATACATTGCGAACTTTGTGGACTACACCAGATCCGAAAGCGATTTTTCTACATATTTTTCCGGATTTATTCTTTTTTCTTGATACTCGACGCCTCTTCGAACGACTTTTACACCCCATACCAAAACACCTCTTTCCTTTCATTCCTTTCATTCCGTTGGTGACTAACTTCTCTCCTAAATTAGCGTATTTTGATTTCACTCGCCCCCAAGCAGCTTCGTCTAATTTCTTATCAGCAGAATGTCTAGCAGATAAATCGTTTGGGTACTTAAGGTAGGCTATATCGTGTTCCTTACAAGCTCTATCCAACTGGTTTATTCCTGGATCACCGCGAGCTAATCTTTTTTGGAGTTTTGTTCCCGGTCCACAATATTGATAACCTCCAGGAATGTGTAATTCGAATGGTAATTTGTTTAATAGGGTATTAACAATTCCTTTACCACATTTTTTTCTATTGGACTTTTTTGATGTGCAACGCTTCGCTCTCATTATATAAATGAGCTCCACAGTATGTGGGATTCTTTATATATCATTCAACCATCAGACAATGCGGATTGTCCAGCAAGCAGAATCGTTCGATGTGGACAATTTTGATGAAAAAGTTGGGTTGGGGATAATCATACCACACATCGGCGGCATTGGATTTTATTTCCAAATACTATTCGAGGCCTTATAGTAGGACCATCAAATTTTGGGAAAACGAATGATATGATATCACTCCTCACCAATGAGAATGGTTTACGATTCTCCAACGTTCATCTCTACTCAAAATCGTTATATCAACCCAAGTATGAGTACTTACGGAAAGTATTGGAACCAATAAAGGGGGTAGGGTTCCATACATACAGTAATAACGTGGACGTAGTGGAACCGACAGATGCAAAACCAGACAGTATTTTCATATTCGACGATGTCATCAGTGAAAAACATAATGTTATCAGATCTTAACTTTCTGTGGGGCGCCACAAAAATGTGGATTGTTTTTTTCTGGCACAGAGCTATTCCAGAATCGGAAATTATTACTGAGAGATAATAGTAACTTCATTGTTTTATTCAAACAGGACGGAATGAACCTACAACACATTTTTTTATCACGTTTCCCCAGACGTAACCTTCAAACAATTTCAAGATATGTGCGCACAGTGTTGGACAGACAGATATGGATTCTTAGTTATTGATAAGGATAGTGAACTTCATGAGGGACGTTATAGAAAGGGTTCTGATAGCTTCATATATCCGTAATATTTCGGTGGTGTGTGATTCATTCAATCATCGAATGCCACGATGAACACACCGCCTAGCAGTAGTGGTAGTGCAAAAACAGATGAAATCAGTTCTGAAATACAACTTAAACGCCAACTAGTTGAAGCAACTGATACAGTAAGGAGGAAATTCAAAAGTGTCAAGAGTGACCGAATAGATAATCAAATGATGCTAAAAGAGATATATGAACCACTGACTAAACCGCTGAAGACTATGGCAGCTGCAGCAATGGCAGACAATCGATCTTCGCAATCTACATCGAAATACATTACTAAACCTGCGCCTTCAATAATAAATACACATCCCGGATAGCATTCTACACCAATTTCGGAAAATTATTCTAACGCTACTACAGTAATGAAAACACCTAGGAAACATGTGGCACTTGGAAGAAGTTTTAGCGATAATATTTCATCAACATCGCCCCACGATGATAATCGCATGTACTCAACTACTATACTGGATACGCCACCAAAATCGTCTTCATATTTTTCCAGCGACGATACTAATGCAACCCTTGCTAACGATGTTGAAATGAATGATGATGAAGAAGACATCTAAATAATTTGAGGGATAAAAACTCCAATTATGATACCACATATGGTGTTCACACTGATTCAGAGACAGGGGAGCTCAGGATGGGAAACATGGAAATTCGTTTTCCCGCCGATCAAATTGAATTGTGGCGCGGTAATAAAAGGACAAAGGTTTTTTCAGGTAATCCTGAATTATATGATTTGATTTTCTTGAAACACGTACCAATAACCGTCAGCAATGGAGATAAACAGGTGTACACAGCCTTGTTGGAGAACACTAGAGCACCGAATAGAATGACGATATCAGAGAAGGGTTAAATGCTAGCACAAAATCAAAGAAAAAATATGAACACGTCATTAAACCATTGATCGGTACACCGGACAGAATGAAAAATCAAGTAGCGCGAGAAGTTAAAGTTGGGGCAGTAAAAAAACCAAAACCAATTAATAAACTCGTTACTGAACATCGCAAAGAGTATACTTATTGGAATGAAGCTAAATAATTGTTTGACCGTCTTCGGCTATTATGGAGTTCAAAAAATGCAGGCCACACATCGCATGATAATGAAATAATTTCAATAATAGAGGAATTACGTGAAGAAGGTATAGTTCACTAGGTGGATGGTTGTTTCGACCCCGTTTTTGTACCCATTAGCATTATATGGCTTCCGGCGTTGAGAATATGCCGATATGTGTAGCCATGAGTGTGCGCCATGGTGTGCGCCATATCCTATATGTACATATGCAATGAGAAGGCTGATTAGTATTTAATTGAAGACGGCAGTAGTCGCACAACCGCTTAGGGTAGGCGGTATGAAAATAAGTGCAACCAAAAGGCAGATTGTCAATGAATTACATAAGCCAGCAAGGCGTAACTTCAAAAGGCGAAGAACTATAATAAAACATTTTAAGAATCTTTCTCAGATTGATCTTGCTGAAGTCCAAAAATATGCGAAAAAAAACAAAGGATATCGGTATATTTTATTCGTCATCAACTGCTATTCCAAATACTTATGGACAGAACCAATAAAAAGCAAAATAATGAATATAGAATAAATCATTATTCCACTTATGGTACAATGAAGGCGGCGATTGTGGAATGAGTGATTAGAACATTAATAACTTGGATTTATGAAGAATTTTCTGCTAGAGGTGAATGTAAGTGGTATGACACCTTACAATATTACACAGAACTATATAATAATAGAAAGCACCGAACAATCGGTATGAAACCGTCCGATGTAACTCCTACGACAGTACTTAAGAATTTCATCCATACAAAAATAGCTCCGAAACCAAAATATGATGTCGGAGATGTCGTCCGAATCAGTAAGTTCAAAACTGTGTTTGAAGAAGGTTTCACTGCTAATTTTACTTCTGAATTGTTCGTAATAGCCAAAGTTAATATTACTGAACCTGTAACATACAATCTTGCAGAGATTTGAGGCAAACCAATCAAGGGTTGTTTCTATGAATTGGAATTATTGAAAACTATGCACCCGAACGTATATTTGATAGAAAAAATCAAGAAGGAAGATGAAAGCGGAAAGAATATCTATGTCAAATGGCTTGGGCACTCTGAACAGCAGAATTCTTGGATTAAAAAATCTGCTATCGTTTGAAATGTTACTGTATTTTCAATTGTTTAATAAAAAAATCCATCAAATTTGATTATTTCATCTATTTTTTTTACACAATCCATAAAGAAAACAGATTGAGATGAAAAATACGTTCTCCATTGAAATATAAATATATTTTAAAATAATGTATAATATAAAATGAATACAGTTAAGGTATATAAAATAAAATATTATTGTAAAAAAGTTACATGTTGTCGTCGTCAGAGCTTGCTTCCTCTCGTATAAGATATGGTGGTAGGTAGGGCATATTCAGAGTTCTGCGATACATTCGTCTCTCATATGTCAGGCACCAGCACATTCTGAAATGATGGTCCTCATTCCGGAAGAAGTGGCCAACATTCTCACAGAAGAAGGACGAATAGGTACAGCCAGCGCAATTTCCATGCCAGCAATCATTCCTATAATTGCTACAAATATTACACCTCTGGAACCTCAAACGACTTGCTACACTGCATTCTCGACATACGTCCCTACAAATACCAAAATTCGTGTTCCGTAACTGTTTGGTACATAATATGCATTGTGGCACAGAGATAGCGGGATCCATAGGCGTCGAAAATGATCGAGGAGGGTTTGTTGATCTCTGTAGATTTCTTGAAATGCATCTTTCACATACTCCACTACACGGATTGATTTCTTGTGCAGGCCACCCAATATCACAATTATGGCAAATAACCAAACCATTTGCTGCCAATGGGTAAACTGCAACAATAGGTTTTGAATCCCACGACTTCGGATATATCATGATAATATTTCGAGCGTATCGTTATTTATACAAACAATTCAGATACTTATTCTACTCCTTTTTACTGAGCTGTATTCAGTAGGAGATCTAAGAATACTGTGATGAAAAAATGTGTGGTACATATTCTTTTGAATACTTGGTTTTTCCCACTACCTCGAAATTTTCGTCATCAGACACCGGCAGCCAATAAGTTTGTGATTCTACTTCCTACAGAAGGACAACCTCCCTCTTGGATTTTATACTATAGTCAGCCAATAATGATTTTTTTCACTAGCTCATCCCCTCCACTCCTCGGTATGCCCAATAAAAGGCTGGATTCTCCAGTTAGAGCGTTAGTTCAATTTTATCTATAGAAGAAGAAATACATATCGAATTTTAAGATGAATAATAGTATGAGTATAATTTGTACCATGTTGGCGAGATTATCCATTATCGATGAGAATTATTTGGGTGATAATGTAAGTATTTATTCGAAAATCATTGTTTGCTATTCAAATAGATGAATTTATTTTTTTAAACATTTTATTCATTCATACTTTTCTCATTTCAGGAACGCGTTGACGAGCATGCTGATGCAGATTCAGATGATGGACGTGATGAGGGCTATGGAGAATCAACGGAAGAAGGGGTACAGAGGATAAACTTTCTGTCCACATATTCCAATTTGGCTGATCTGCGTAGCAAGTGGGAGGATATGGAGTTTTGTACCACCATATCCAAAGTGACGCTGGTGACATCGGAGGGCTTGAAACACTTATGCGTTCCATGTTTCTCGTTATACATGAGGCGTCCCGGCGTCGCAGGGGAATACCAGCATACTTCATCACATTCAATGACGAGGTTCGACGAGATTCCCTGGTACTTTGAGTGTGCTGCATGTTCAATGGACTCACACCAAATCCATCTAGCCGATGTATGTCCTACTTGTTGCAGTGTACCGGAAAAAGTACATGTATTCGAACCATTAGTTTAAGTTGTAATATATAATATAAGTGTTTTTTAATTAGTTTGAGTTGTTATGTATAGTATCTATAAGTTGTAATATATAGTATCTATAAGTTGTAATAAAGTATATTCTATAAATTATTCGAAATTGTATTTTTTTTCAATTACCTACATTACATTATATTAGTATTGAGTGACAAATTTTTGAATAGTTATCTCTTCAATATCTATTTCTTTCATTCCTAGAAAATTAAAAGTAACATTGTACGATGGCGAAACACCGATAGTGCGCTGTTACTTCTAATGATGAGAATGAAACAAATACGTATATTTCTAATAGTGAGAATCAAGAGAATAGATATATTTACCAATTCCCTTGACTCAAGGTGGCGATTACACCTACTGAAGACTCATCTGGTTGATAGATATCAGCCTTTAGATATATTTCTAATGATGAAAATCAAAGAAATAGGCATATTCACCAATTCCCTTGACTCAAGGAGGTGATTACACCTACTGAAGACTCATCTGGCCACATATTTATTCACAGGTGTCATTACGCCATTTTGAAAACTTTTCTTCAATCATTTTTATATTATTGTTTGACAAATAACTGGTATTTGCGAGGGTTCATAAGCTGGAATATAAAATCAATAATTACCAGTACAATATGTACCTGTCCCGCCATCTACCAGAAAATCTGCCAGGTATATTCATGAGTAGCACATTCAAATACTTACATAGTTACAATGCCTACGCACATTCATCGTGGAATCAAAAGGTGTCGCTACCTACTCAATTCATGAGTGTCTATAGTTTACGAATCATTCCCTATAGTTCACGAATCATTCCAGATATACAGTGTCCGGCATAAAGTTCGCAGCATATGGAAAACTTTTTTATTATTGATTTCTCAAAAAAATCATTCCTGATAAAAAGCTCTGCTTCATCCCAAACCAGAATTGCATACTCCAGAATTGAATTTTTCACGACACTATACGAGCGAGATGAAAAAACATGCTTTAATTTCAAGAAAATATGATCCCATCACTTTATTTTTCACGGTAGAATCAAAAGTCAAGGGGAAATATTGTTCAGAATCGAATGTTGATCCAGAAATTCAAATCATAGCCACCTATGACCATTTTAATTTTTCTCCTCATCGCCCTCTACGATATGAAGAATACTATGCTAGATGAATGGCATATTGTTAGATATGATGATATCACTACATGGATATCCTCACCTTCCTCGCTTCTATCAGAAAATCACATTTATTGAAATATGTGACGGAATTTCGCAAAATCTTGCTGCAAATAGTAATTAAAACTGAATTGTCTCCAAGATATGAGGCGAGAATTCAATTCTGGTGTATGCAATTCAGGTTTGGGATGAAGCAGAGCTTTTTATCAGGAATGATTTTTTTTTGAGAAATCAATAATAAAAAAGTTTTCCATATGCTGCGAACTTTATGCCGAACACTGTATAAATATTAATAATAATAATAATAATAACATATATAGCCTGGGATTTGAACTCATTTCAACGCATTTTCACTTACTTAGATTTGTTCACTATAACCTGCCTAGTTAAACAGTGTCATATTTTTTCAATGTGTCCCAATTTCGACCATTTAAAAAAAATCACAGCCGCTGAATTTGTAAATGAAAAATTAATAATACAGAGCGGTTTCCAGAGTGGAAAAAACGCGGGAAACACACCCCTCGTTCCCCTATCCGGATTCCCACGGTCATACGATCAACGTCATTGCGCTAAATCGCAGGACGAAAGAATTTATTCAAAACTTCTTAAAATGTTGAAATTTTCAAAAATAAAATATATGAAGCTATAAAAATGCTACAAATGTATTAACGAAAAAATATGGGTGTATTTATAGGTGTGTATATGATTGAATCTAAGTTATGAGTAAGTTTATTTATAATACATGAATTGTTTCCCTTGATATAACCCAAGTCGAAAGATTATCGATCGGCCCCCATTTCCAGGTATAGCGACAAATGGCCCGTTGCGACCATTGCCCGGTCCAAGGGTAAATGTAGGTATTCGTTTAGGTAGACTATCGAATTTATTCTAATGATGGGTTTAAGTTTATATAAGTATAGAATAAGAATAGTTTGGTAAACTAGATGGAATATATGGGAGATCTTTATTTCATATACCCGTGAAAATATTCCCGAAACATTAGCTGGCGCCATCTTTAGTAGTTGAGTAGAAATACAGTATAGTAGGCAAACGTCGTTAAATCTTGAATGACGGAAATATACAATGTTCCACACTTCCAATTCGTTAGCTAATATTTGCTTAACTAAAGATGTCGCTACTAGTGTCAGAAAATGTTTTTTACTCGGATAATTCATAATTACTACTGACTCACTAGAACATTTATTTCTCTTATGAATTTCTACAAATACTGTTGATATGAATAACCTACTCAACTTTGAGGAAACCTTATGTTATATGCTGGAATATGCTCTCAGTAGGATCAAGTTACAAGATATAACGATTCATCAGAACTTAATCTTAACCTTGGAGTCAGCATCCGCTTTAATGTAACAGAATATCTGCTGACGCTGACATCAGCATAGATTGTCTATACATTCACCACTTGTTGTATACTGTAGTTAGACTGAAATAAAGCTCATACTGAACATTGTAACTCTGTCCGTTAATAAAGGACATATTTTTTGAAAAGTCTTTCTCGAAAAGATTGAGATAACAAATTGGCGCAGTCGTACAGATTTCGTGACGTTGCTAGAACACGGGAGCAACCTAACTAGTGACGGTGGATACCAATCCTGTGCCGAAATCAAAGAACCAACCCAAGGGAGTCATCACTCGAAGAAGCTGTGGACGGAACACCTGGTGAAGCCCCTGGCAGAATTGACGAGAACACGACAAGCTCGATGATCACGATCCTGGAAGTACACATTGAATCGTTCCGTTTTGAAATAACATTTTCAACAAATCAATCACTGTTCCATTATCCAATTTTCCCATTCTCAATCCAATAATCAATCACAATGGACAATCATCATGACAATGCTCATGCTAATAACGCACCCGTGGCACCACCACAACCCCCTGCAGAAATTGAACCATACAAACTCAATGAAATATTTTACATCATACCAGAATATGATGGCAATCCAATTTTCTTAACTACGTTTCTGCAAGCCTGTAGTACTGCCTACAGAATGGCAGTAGACGACCAACGAATACTCGTTGTACTTCATATTAAAAATAAACTACGTGGACGTGCTGCAGAGCTAGTGAATTCGAGAAATCCAGTCACTTATGAAGAAATTAAACATCTTTTAGATACACACTTTGGCGATTCCAGAGACTTGACTTCACTCATTCAAGATCTCCAAAGAATTCGTCAACTTCCCGGCGAAAATGCGATGACATTCGTTCAACGATTGCAAACGCACGCCGCCGTGACGAAACAAATCATGGCACCCGATCAAATAGCCGCTCAATCCAGACTCATAGAAAACATGACTCTGAATACGTTATTGACTGGACTAGACCCGAAATTTGGTCAAATAATTCGTGCTAGTAACCCAGCTGATATGCTCACCGCAATAACTCGTATCAGACGAGAACTGCAGTTGAGTTATTTCGAAATTCAAAAATTTCCTCATTCACAAAATCAAAGAAACCCTAATCCGATTCCTACCAGAAAAACAATGTCTCATCAACAAACTGAACAATGTTCATATTGCGGACGAATAGGACATTTAGTTTACGAATGTCGTACGAGACAAAACTCTCAAAATCGTTCACAATATCCTACTAGACCAAACCAACTAAATTTCAATCAAGCTGGTCCATCGAGACCATTCCAAAACACGAATCCCAGGACAGAAACCTCCTCAATATGGTAACCAATACCAACCCCAAAACCAAAATCAATTCCATCAAAATCGACCATCAATCATAAGACCTAACCCGAATTTTAACAATCAAAGACAAACAACTATTCAGCCAAACCCAAATTTTAATAGACAAAATAATCAACAAACACATCATTTGAATTATCAACAATTCGACCAATACGATGAAAATGATTATTATCAAGAAGATCGCTATACTGCTAGCGAGTATCAGAATTATGATCAGGACTATTATACCGCTAATAGCCAAAATCAACAGTTCCAAAATCGTCATACCGCTGATGATCAATATCAATACGAACAATTTTCAACTCATCACCCGGACTATGACAATGTACCGCAAAATGTAGACACTCAGGATTTTCAGTTGCGACTCAATCCTGGAGACCCTCCGAACAATTCTACTAATGTTATGGACCAACTCCAGGCCCAAGTGCAGACAATGAACTTGGACAGTTTCGACCCAAATGTGAATTTCCCGGAACAGAAGTTCATTAAAAATCACTTTTAGCAGTAAATTCTAAAAATCTATACTTCATAAACGATATTACAAACACTTTCAAAATTCTTATTGACACAGGTGCTGGACTTTCGATTTTCAAACCAAAGACGTGTGGAAATTATCGAAGACGTTTCACAGAAAATATTTCAATTCAAGGCATAACTGATCAAAAAATAATTATAAGCGAATCCACTCTGATTCCATTCAAACCTGACGACCCACATAAAGTGTATATTCACAATTTGGACATAGAATTTGATGGCCTTCTTGGCTCTGATTTTTTAGAACATTATAATTGCATAGTAGACCTCAAAAATAAACAATTGATCACTGATTTCAAAACAGTCCCACTTTTTAAAGTCACTGACGAAGTTATATCTCAGCCAACAAGTAATTTACCAAATATCAGAGAAAACCATAATAAAATAAATATTGAACCACGTACAGAACAAATTTTCAAATTGAAATGCAACCTTTCGAATACTGATGCTATACTTATAGCCCAGGAAATCGAATTCCAAATTCAATCGTGAAAGTAAACGAATATGGCGAATTTTTGACTTCCATTTCAAACGTAAACGCTATTCCGGAAACAGTTAATTTTTCTGAACTCATTTCAGAACTATTCAACCGTTTTTCAGTTAATAGCTTTGGCATGAATGAACCTAACACAGACACACACATAGACAGACAATATGAAATAAAAAATCAACTACG